TTGCCTCGTATCACAGTCAAGCCTTCCCGCGGCTCCTATCGAACGGGCCTCGCATCTGCTCATCCCTCTTCCTTCCATCGCCCAGACTCTTGGGTCTTGACTGGCACGCAAGCCTTGCCCGGCCGGCCGGACCTATGCGAAGCAGCAAACGCTCACTCATCAGGGGTCCAGCCTTTCCGCATTGCAAGGTAATAGGAGTAGTCGCCGAAGCTTACCTTTCGCCAGTACCCCTTCTCGTTCCTTGCGACGACACCTCGGCAACGCTCGTCTGATCGAATCTTACCAAGCTACGCAAATAGACGCTACCTTCACAGTCCCTTCGAAAGTCGCCTGGAGCATCTGAGCCGGGATGGGTCAGAACGCGACCAGGCCAGTGAATCTGGCAGGCGAGGCAGGCTCTTCTAGGGGCGGCCACTCGGGGCAAGGCTCTAGTGGGAGTGCCAGCGGGAGCAGAGATCGAAGCTCAGCTTCTTCAGGACCAGCTTCCGTGGCTCATCTGCCTCCCGTCATCGTGGATGGAGGTCACACCATACCTCAGGGAGTCTACCCTGGCGCACCTCAAGATTTCCATCATCAAATCGTCAGATCGCTCATCATTGCTCGTAAGCTCTGTCCCTTCTACCCCACGGTCGATGATGACGATGAAGGACAAGCTGGGAATGGTGACTTTGCGACGGAAGAGGATACAGTCGGGCGACCCGCCACGGAATGTCCAATCTGCTTCTTGGTGAGTGTGTACCATCTTTCTCTCGCTCGAAACTTGAGTGCCAACCTCTCACGTCCTCTTGCGTCTCCTCTCAGACCTTTCCCGCATCACTGAACAGAACGAGGTGCTGCGGGCAACCAATCTGCACGGAATGTTTCGTTCAAATAAAGAGAGCAGATCCCAACCATACCAATCCACCATCTTCAGAGCCGGCCAGCTGTCCGTACTGCATGACCAACGAATTTGGAGTGGTGTACTCGCCACGCAGCAAGCAGAGCTTGCCTACCAGTCCTTCGTCTCCTGGATCCAGCGGCATTCAGGGCTTCTCAGGCACAGAAGGTGCAGCCGGCTTGGCGGAGCTGGCGGCGGGTGGGAGCAGGGTACCTACTCGAAGACGAAGTGCCAAGGCGACAGATGCGGACGTCGTAACAGTGGGTCAGTATAGAGACGCGATGTGATCCCACGCATGGCCTCCACACAGACTTGAGAGTGACAGCGTCACGCGTGGGGCAACCTAATATGCACATGAAGTTCTTGCTGATTTGGCTACTACCTCTCTGGACCCCACTAT